CAAGGAAGAGAAGATGGTAGTTATGGTCAGATGGCTCCGCCTGCATCGGGATCCTATGGTGATGGTAGTGGAAATTATCCTCCTCACCCGAATTCTTATGGTGGAAATAGTAATTATGGAACGGAAGCAGTTGCTCCTCCTACCAGAAACGAATAAAAAAATGCCACGTCAATCTATTTTATTAATCATAACTTAACGGAGTCCAAACGGTTAAGGGGGAGACTCCAAAAAAAAAGTTGGTCTATTAATCCCGCCTTCATTCTCCCCTCAATCGTTTTCTCTCCCCAGTTCCCACCTCTCTCTCTCTCTCTCCATTCTCCTTCAACCCAACACTGCCGTCCGATCCATCGCAACCACCAGCGGCTGACGACGAGCTATGTTTCTCTCTCTTCCCTGTTATTTCTCTTGAGATTCTCTCTCTCCCCCTCCTTGGTTCTCCTTCAGCCGCCACCCTCACCACCCGAACCACCACAACAAAGATCGCTTTAGATAACGCTTTTGTTTAATCCGATTACAGAATTGCTAGAAATTTGATCATGTGTTGGATTCAAATATGAGAGAAATTTCTTAGTGGCACAATCTTTTTGGCCCCATGCTTGCCTAGGTAGAAATTCAAGTTGAAAACCTCGAGCAGAGCAATCTATATAACAAACAGTTGATGGGATCTCTTCCATATCCATCAAAAGCTTATTTGAAAAGCAAAAACTCCTTGGCAGGAATTTGTTTTTCAGGTAGCAATACAACTGATATAGTAAGATTGCAACAAGATAGATTTTAGCAAAAACAAGTTCTCAACCCCAATCACCTTAGAGATCAACCAATGCAAGCTGCTAACATTCATTGATCAGAATGGGAGTGAACTACCTGGTGAGATTCCACCCAAGTATACGAATCTTGGATCAACTGAATCTATTGAGGAATATGAAAAATCATTTTGCAGGGAGCATCCCTGTATCTATCTTTGCAGTGGCGGCACTAGATGGAATCCAAGGAAGAGAGAAGAAACAGGAGAGAGAGAGTTCCGACGGCGCACCAGTAACGGTGGACGCTGGACGGTGACAGGTTGTGAGAGCTGAGAGGAGAGAGAAGGCAGGGAGAGAGCGAAGGAGAGTGAGGGGAACAGGACTTTCGAGTCCAGACAAACAAGAAAGGGGATTGGGATTTGGGCGGTTCTTACTAACGTCCGTTAAACCTGGACTCCGTTATTCTTGAAACCTATAAGTGACGTGGTGCTTTCTCATTCGCCGGTGTAGAAATTTTTCTGCAACTGGATGCAGATGATGTGAACTCCCTATGGTGCCCCTCCAAATAGTTATGATGGCGATGCCCCAGTTGATACACGCGTAAGTGGTCGCGGAGGTCCACCGGGTGGGTATGATGGTGGCCCCTGACACTCAGGTGGTGGCTATGGTGGTGCTCCAGCTATGGTCAAACAATGCGATGAGAATTGTGGGGATTCTTGCGATAACTCAAGAATCTACATCTCCAATCTGCCACCGAATGTGACTAATTGAAGAGCTAAGAGAGCTTTTTGGGGGGATTGGCCAGGTATGTCTGTTTCTTCCATTTCATACTGGACCATATGCATGTGACATAGTTATTTGTGATACCTATATCTCGAAGAGTGATTTCTTGCACTCAGCATTTTCATTTTCTTGGGACAAATTAAAAGGGCCATTCAACATTTTAGCCTACATTTGTATTTTGTGTTTTATGCAGATCTATTTGTTTGTGTCCTGATTAAATAGTCTATAATGTACATCTGTGTTTTGGTTTGTCTAGGATAAATGAAATCCCAAAGAAATTGTTTAGATATTATTTCATTGATTGAATCAGCTATCATTATATATGTCATTGAAAGAGCAACAGAGTTACAACAAGAAAACAAAAGAAGTAAATGTTGCTTCCAATTGGCAAAAGAAAAACACGTTCACACATTTAGCATGTCTTTTGTGCTCTTGGTGTTTCTTCTAAAAGAATTATAAACTAAAATAATTGTAAAAGCAATTACTATTTCAGGAATTAACTAAAAATTGTAATTATAACAAATTAATTACTTCATAATAAAAATAAATAATAATAATAATAATAATTTAATATTACTTATTTCAAAATCAATATTACTCAATAAAGACATGGAATAAAAAAATATATTAGTAAATAATAGTAATAATATTAGTAAATAATAGTAATAATAATATGCTTATTATTATTATTGATTTCATAATTATTAATATATTATTAATCTATATTACTCAATAAAAACATGGAATAAAAAAATATTCAAATTACCACTAAATGAATGAACTAAAAAACTATGAGTATTCTATTTGACTTGAATTTGACACATCAGCATGCCCAAAATTATAATTCCAACCTACATTTCCTATTTTTATCTCCCAATTCCCATAATTCAAACATACAATTAGCTTATCTACAGGTTTTCCTACCTTTTTCCTAAAGATAAATTCAAGACAATCTACGTGCACTGTGGGGAGCTTAGACTTAAAATCCATAACCACGATTGACCAAAAGAAGTGTTGCCACCTGATTTGGAGGTGACTTCCATACTCAAGATGGTCCCATTATTCTCCTTTCTTTCATGTTTCTTTTGTTGGATGGCCTTTGGAGTCCTGATTATATTATCAGTTGATTGTAGCCATACATGATGATGATTTGATTGTAGTCATATATTTTTCATCTCTTACTTCAGATGATGGATGCATCTGCAAATGTTGTTTGGCATGAATTGTTTTTCTTAGCAGTTCTTTGAATGATTTTCTTCTTTCTTTGCCTCTTTGAATGAATATCACTTAAATGCTTTTTATCCATTCATGTCCCTAAATATTAAGTAGTATTGGTGATATTGTTGTAAACATCCATTTAATTTTACTATTTTATAAATAGATTAATGATTTCAAAGTTATTGATACTTTTTTTTGGAGGGGTTGCTCAACAGGACATTGATTTTTTTATTGGTAAATAGTAAATTTTAAGTTAAATGATATTGTAGTTGCCCCTTACTTAGCATGGGGTCATTGTCTAGATAAAACATGGTAAGTCTCTTAAATCAAATAAAGAGCCTACCCTAAATGTCTATTATAAATAATTAAAAAAATCAAATAATTCAAATTAAATCAAATAATTACTTGCTGAAAATTACTGGATTAAGTAAATAATAATAACAATCAATTATTTATAAAAATAATTAATAATAATAACAATCATCAAGTACTTAATTAAGTAAATAATAAAAAACAAAATAACAATCATTAATGTTTATTCAAAGCATGCCCCATAATAATTACCAAATACAGTAATTAAACCTTAAATAAGAATCAATATTTATTAAAAATCATTAAAATTGTTAAGCCAAATCATTAATGTTTATTCTTAAATGCAAAATATGAACTAACAAATCTATTTTATAATAATTATACTCGGTTGGAAAAAATATTTTAAGTAAATATTTAAATAATTACAAATTTAGTTATTATTATTACTATATAAAAAAAACTAAATTAAATACTAAAATAAATTAATAATAATAATGAGAATGGTTAAATTAAAGTAATAAACGGTTCAAGTTGAATTTAATGACCTGTATAATTTTACGGGTTTGAGATATAAGAGTCAATTTATGTGAGACCCATAGACTGTGTGAATGTCTTAAAAATGACAGTTTATAAATAATAATAAAAAATGGTAATAAAAACTATTAATGTTTATTCATATATATATAATTAACTTCCCCGTACTTAATATGGGGTCATTCACTAGTTTGAATGAACAAACCAGGACCACCATAAAGGAAAATTAGAAGGTGTTGGGTACAATGGTATTTCGTTGCTGTTGTGGTTAGGATTTACAAATTTCTGAGAAATATGTATTGTCATATCATATATGAATGCTATTTCAAGTAAGAAAATGCAGTAATAGCCAATCTGGTGTTGGTTAAAGCTCTCTGGCATTATTAGATTTTTCCTTTATTTTAATAATAACTTTTTAATCCCTTTATTGCAAGTGCTTTCCCCCCACCCCCCTCAACCACAGCACAAAACAAAACAATTAAAAGGGCCTCTGCCAGTGAAAGTTTTAAGGGGATTTTGTATGAAAGTTCAGGAGGGTAATTGTCACTGACCCTATAATACAGCATTGGGGTGAGGGGTGAGAATGGGCAGCTCCAATGAAAAACTTAGAACCCGCCCTATACCTAACTTGATGAGGTTTATTCCAGGGTCAATAATAGGAACAGTCTTTTTCAGAATTGACCATAAAAATTTCAGGGATTCTTCACTAGAGACAGATCATTATTCTCTTTGACTAGAGTAAGGTTTAGCTGAACGCTTTAACTGTTCAGCAGGCTGTGAAACCAATTATTAGATCTCATGCCAGCATTAAATACAATGGGGCCATGAATTTATTATTGGCACAAAACCTTATAAATGATTCCACAGCCATTTGGCACAAAACCTTGCAATTGATTCCACAGCCTATTAAAACGTTCAACTAATCCAAATACACGGCCCCCCTTTCGAAATCACATCTGCGCCCCACATGTACATCTCACATATGGAGCGCCCTCTGTAGACTGTGTAGCCTTTTCTAAGAACCCTTGTAAAAGGCTATTCCTATAATTGCTGTGTCTTGCACAGCAAATGTTTGAAGATGACGAGATGAGTCTGAGTCTCTGACTCTAACCTCGGGTGGAGAACCCCCGACCCCCCAACTCCAGGCTCCACGGCTATCTCCCACAGTACGCAAATAAGGGACCTCGGGACCCAGAAAACAAACCCCAAAACATGTGCAAACCGGAAAACATCAGACGTGCATATAGACATGGTACGATACTACCCAAAAAGAATTGCACAACAAAATAAAGGAATCACACATCAAACAGTTTCACAAATCAACTTCCGCTATTAGAAGCTGTTTTTTTTTTTTTTGTACTTACACTTAGAAGCTGGTACATGGGGTGAAAAATTTGAAATCAGAACCGGTTAGACCAAAAATTTAAAGAAATAAGATTATATCATTATCAAGTATCACCAATAAGTTTTTCTGTTCCACCAAAATGTACTCTATGCCAACAATAGATTCTTTTCTGTTCAACCAATAAGCACCGTATGACCGTATGACCATAGTATCAGGCACTATTACTAAACTATTACTTTCTTCATAATAGTAAATACTAAGGAGAAAAACATTGTCGGTTGCAATAAGATCTGTATGCCAACTCCAAACTGTTCTTCCATTCAAAACTTCACCTCATTAGCAGCTCATGACCAATTCGGAGAACAAGAATTAAACGAGCCATCAAAGGGCTTGAAAAGGCTTCCTTTGGATCTCCAAACGTCAATGGCAAAAAGACCCTAGTCACTCTTCCACGACATTAACCAGTTCATACTCCACTAGAGACAGATTGTTATCGTCCTTAACTATGAATGAAGCCGGTTCTGTGACCTCAACACGGCCCCATTTGTCAACTGCCAACCTCATAGACCCCTTAAACATATCGATCTTTGCATTGCGCAGATTCACACTGATACCTGGCTTCATCAAATCAACTGCCCATAACAGAAAACCATTGTCAACATTAAATAATATAAACTTGAGGAAACCCAACTTAAATCATAAGTCATAACATGAACTGAACATCTATGTCTCCCCAATACATCCTACAAAAAGAAACAAAAGGATGGAAGTTGGATGATTGCTAAAGGCAATAAACATGCCCGCATGCCCTTGTTAATTATTTTAAATAAAATCCAAACATTTTCCATAAGGGGGGGTAGCCCATCCCCCAAATCCATGAACATGATCCCCCTGGACACTGGTCAAGGCAGGATCCAATCCCAAGTTTCGGCTACAACCAGCCAGAGACCTTACCAAAGTACCAGTTGCCACCTTAATGGGGTAGTCACTCTAATAAAATGGTCCTACCAAATTCAGGCCAATCATACAGAAAAAAACCTGTTAAAAGTTTACAACTAATGTTATGTAATACAAAATTAGGTGCAAAAATTGGTTGAAGCCCGTAAAAGAGATGAATCACAAATGAAAAGCATAACGTTATAGTTGCTAGTTTAACACTTACTTTTTTTTGGTTAACCACTTGCTTTTCAGTACAGTATAAAAAACACTATGCTAAGTTTGCAACTATGATTCAAAGGAAAACAAGCAGGTAATGTGCTCGGCCAGAGCTGAAGTAGTTGTGTTGGTAGGAGCACATCGTGAAATAAAATAACAAGTCATGTTTATCAACCATTTAGACTCTTTTTTCATAGGAAAAGATATATCTTTTGTTAACAGTTGATTAACTCCACAATGTTATCACTTATCAGTGATACCAATAGGTGGGGACCTCAGTCCGATGGATAGGATTGCTTACATTCACGGCAGTTTTAGACACTATATGAGTAAGGGTAGCTCTAGGTGTAATTCTAGGTATGAGGAACATGGAAAAATTGCCAAAACAGATACATACATGTAGAAAACTGTAAACATATTACATATCCATGCATGTACATATCATTGACCTTGTTTACCTAAGTTCAGAGATGAAAAGTCCTCTAAATATTTACGCTTTTCCAATGAGATACAGACTCATGCAACAGGTCTAGTGATGCATGCACACACAAACAGATGTTAGTTAGCTAGTGTGAGCATTCAGTGTTAAAAATATTTGGCAAACCACAGAATGCATATTCACACCAAATTACTGACTGGGTAACCAAATTGTAATTTTCAGAGGATGACAAGTCTTATTCACCTTCTAATCTTTGAGCCTGAGGGTTTCATCTTGTTCTCTAATTTAAAAAAAAAAAATCAGATTTTTGTTAAGAAGATGCAAACCATGCTCCCTTTTGTTTTTTCCTTCTCCAAAACTTCAACTTGCAGCAATCCGTTTCCCTTAACTAGTGCATTGATTGAATTTCCACAAATAATAGAATCAGCTCCCTCATCTTGTGGCCAATTGGAATGACCAAAGGAGTTACTACAAGTCACACTTTCATCCCTCGAAGTCTCATCACTTGTTCATCTCAGCATCCCAATGCTGGCTACTTTGCTAAATTCTTGTCTTTTAGAAAGTTAAAGTATAAATTCATTTCATAAAAAAATGTACAGGGTATCACCCAATTACAAGTTTCATTTTTTGGCTAAATTCATTTTGGTACATGTTTTTAATTTTTTTAATTCCTAAAATGCTGCACAGTGAAGCAATATCGTCCTAATAAAAATATTCTAGTTTGATTTATAAGAATAATAGTTGGGTCTAGTGTCTTGCACAAAAAGATGAATTTATAGATTTGCAGGAAAGGAATGAAATAACATCTTCAAGAGATGCAGTCCATGCTAGACTGTTGGATTAGAATCCCTTTCAAACCCACACCATATCAATTTTTGTCAAACTTCTATGTAGAGAATCGGAGGGTTCAGAGAATCTGTTAAATGAAAAACCATACAATGGAATCTATTAACAAAATGAATGGACTTATAAGTTGCCAATAAAAATACTACAGATATATCTAAGCCCAGTCACTTAAGTAGTTCATCTTGATGCAGAGCAGTTAGAGTTAGTTGGAGATTCTGTTACATTGTTATTGCAGTTACATTGTTATTGCAGTTAGAATTAGTTGGAGACTCTGTTACATTGTTATT